AGTTTGTAAAGAAAGTGAGCGAACCTTGAATAACACTGAGCAAAGGCAATGAGGAGACCGTGAAAGATTTCATTGGCTTTATAGTTGTAAAATGGTGAAGTAAATTAAAAGTCGACCTTTGTAAAATGAATTTATATCTATGAATTAGAAATGCTACAAAATTGTTGAATGTTCTTTACTGATATTGATATTGACTGTGGAGTAAAAAAATTACGAAATCATGCGAAGATTGTCCTTTATAATAATGCACCATATTTTTGTGTGTGTGGTAGGTTAATGAATAATTAGTGCATGAACATCTGAGATGAATTGTGGCACTATTTGGTAATATTTATTATCAATCAGGGTCAGAAAGTTATAGATTTTTAAATACCCGGTGGGATATTAAGACAATGTCCAACCTGTATTAAGTATCCTTCAAAGCATCAATTCAGTATTTAATGATTGATTGATTGTATGTTATTTTATGTCCCATTCGAGAATTTTTCACCTATATAGAGACGTTACCATATACCGGTGAAGGGCTTCAAATTTAGACCTTTACTCGGCACTCAGGGCCATTGAGCAGTGAGGGTTCTTTATCGTGAAAACGCCTACCGTGATACGGAGCCTCGGTTTTTAAGGTCTCTTCCGAAGGACCCACAACTCTCACTTCAAAGTTCCGAGCGCGTGGCGAAGGAACAGTTGCTACCTATTTTTTATCGACTTAGGTCAGTCGTGGCCGTGATTCGAACACACGACCTTCCGATCACGGAGCGAGCGCTCTACCGACTCAATTCAGTATTTAAGGATTTACGACTATTTTCAAAGTATGTGACACTTAACACACCATCATCTCGACTACCAAAAGCCCTAAACAAAATTATTTCAAGAAAATGAGCACATTGATATCTATACCGATTCGAAGGAACTATATGCAAATTACAATATAGTGAAAATACTTTTAAATCATACTCTTCCATAAAGAAAAAAAATCATTTTACATCCCCCCACCCTCTTCATATAGAAATATTTTTGAAAGTATCATTTAAAAAAATGAATTTCCTAATCATCATGGGAAAATTATTATTAAAAATATAACTATTAATTTGATTATTAGCTATATTCACCGACAAGATTATAATTTGGAAGCGAAAAAAATTATGTGTCAACATTGACTGACAAGATTATAATTGCTCGTTGAATTATTATTATTTTGAAATGAAAGATAAATAACGTTTACAATTGACTGACAAGTAAGCATATCGCCTTGCTTGATTGAAAAGTACATTTGATATGTATGAGAAGCTTTGAAATCGCCATAACTCTTACATAAATGACAAAAACCTCATGGAATTAAAACAGGTAAGAGGCGTACAACAATAAGTAGAATCTTAAAAAAAACTGCTCATTGTTACCTTATAACTCACAATTTACATCGCACATAATTAATTTCTTCAGACCTGGATAAACTCTGGCCATTTTATGTGTGCAGCCTTTTACAGTTTATTAGCTTATTTATATACTTATTTATATGTAAAAGGTTAAGATAGAAGATTCTGATCAATCTTATAAATCCTGTAAACGTAAAACATAAACAGAGCAAAACCACGTTCATGGAAACACCAGAATGAAATATATGGAGATAACGAACAATATTCAAGCTCAAAATACAAATCAGGAGCAGAGCAAAAACGGACCTCTAAAGCATCAGAGGTGGGATCAGGTGCCATTGAGTACTGAGCATCCCCTGCCAACCGGTCACATCCGCTGTGTGCTCCTTGTCATGAAATAACGAGAAAATCCGTAGACAATTCAGTGTGTAAATAATGGCCTAACAATTAGTATGAAAAACGTCTGTCAGCATTTGACTTAGTGATTGATTGTACTTGCTGACAAGGTCATTGTATCAACCATAGAACTTACGAAATGATGACTCTAAACTAGACTGTTGATATTATTTTTTCTTCAACATGTTTGTCAACAACTTACCTTGTTTAAGAAATTGTTCATACGTAGAGCATGCTTTTGCGTATCGAATCAAGAGGGACATAAACCCCGTATGCAGGTGATAAAGGTATATTACTTCATAAGTAAGGGAAGCTGACGATTGAAAAGCTAAAGTCATCACGTTTATCATAAAGCTTAGTTGTTAGAGATTACCATTAACGTCTTTTTCTAGTAAAATATCTAGATATGAAACAGATGTGTCAGACCCTGTGGTATCGTTTATTTCAAGTTTGGGATATATCGTGTTGACATATAAATGGAAAAAGTTGCTAATGATATGAAGTGTTTTACAAAGGGGGAGTGGAGACACCAAATGTGATTTTAGGTGTCTTCAGGGGGAGTGGAGACACCAAATGTGATATAAGGTGTCTTACACAGGGGGAGTGGAGACACCAGAAGTGATATTAGGTGTCTTAAACAGGGGGAGTGGAGACACTGGACATAGGATTAGGTGTCTTTTTCAACGAAGTGGAAACACCAGATGTTGGATGAGGTGTCTTACTCAGGGGGAGTTGAAACACCCAAAGTAGGTGTATTAGGCAGTAAGGGTGGAAACACCAGAAGTGGTATTAGGTGTCTTTCTCAGGGGTAGTAAGCATCTTATGTCAACTGGTAACAACCACTATGAACCCTCTGTATTGATCAGGTAAACGGAGAAAATACTTTTTACTTGCGAGGACATCCTCATATGCTTTTAAAAATTTCATTCTCGAGTATAAATTAACAAAAAGTATAGCTTTTCCAAAAAGCTTTGCCGCCTTTATCTAGCAACAACCGTAAAGAGTAAACTGAAAAAAACCTATCGGGAGGTATTATTCTTTTGAGTACTGAACTTCTTGGCTCTATACATCAGTACTCAAAAGAGGAAGTGCATAGTCTGAAGACTGTAAAACACTTCAACTTTGTATACCGTCTTCCACGTGAAAATTTTGTCTCCGTTATAAGTAGGAAATAAACTATCTTGCGAAAATAAGTCGTCGCATAAAATGTAGGTGGTCTACAGTATATTTACACAAGGTGTATCTCATTTTAAAATATACCTTGCACAAGCTTGGTTTCACTTTTGAAACAATTCAAACTCAGCAATAGAGTTCTAAAATCGTGAAAATTTAAAATTGATTCAAGTTGTTTTGAATGTCTTGGACAGAGCTTTTCAACGTCTAAATTTTATTCCAGCTGTTGTGAACGTCTTAGAATTATTCTTTTTAAGCGATTATTCCACCAAGTGTATCTATTTTTGATCTTTTTTATAAAAATATAACTGAGTGCACTCAATATCTTGGTGTCAATACAACAGATGAGATATTTTGGAGTCATTACATTATCTTGTCTCATTACGTACAATGGATGTAAAGATAACGAACAGTAATCAAGCTCAATTAAACAAAGCACAAGCTGGATCAAGTATCATAGAGGAGTAAGTATCTCCTGTCCACCAGTCACACCTGACATGTGCCCTTTGTATTGATCGTAGACAAAGCAGTGTGAAAATAATAGCCCATGCAGAGAACAATTGTATATAGCCTCATAGATATTAAAAATGGGCGAAAGAAAAGTTGTTTGTTAAAAAGTATACTTGCGTATTGCGTTCATAACTCCCGGCTGATTCGATACTTAAGACGATGTTCTGAGTGCGATCATTTTTAAACGGTGACAGGCTACTGACAAATAACTTGATGTTAAAGTATTTTCAACTATCAAGGTTAAAGGCAGCATTACGCAAATTCTAAGGTTGGTATAATGACCTTTTTTTTTCCAAATATAACCTATCATTGGGTCTTATTTTGACTGACATGTTTCCAGCCAATTTTTGCTTTTATTCCATTTTACTTGGGATTTCTCAGTTTACCTTATCAATACAGAGGCCCATGGCGGAAGTGACCAGTCAACATAGGATGCTTACTCCTACTAGGCACCTGATCCCACCTTTGGTGTTTCCGGAGGTCCGTGTTTTTGCCCTGTTCACAATTAATATTCTGGATTTATGAGATTGATCACCTTTCATTATCTTCCCCTTTTACACAGTTTGTTATACATCAATGACGATCTGTACTTAACATTATAATATGTAACCTAGAGGTGTCAGACCATGTTTTGTCTTTATTTTTTGAGTTCAGTATCAAATGAGCGTATGAAAGATAACGAATATTAATTGATAAAACATCGTCGATATATCCTATGAAGATAACGAATAGTTAACGACCTTTTAAATCTTATAAACAATAAAAATTAAAAGAGGAATTTGACGAGGCAAAAGCTGAAGCCACGTTTATCACTTAGTTTAATACTTAGATGGGTTTCAACTTAATAGTCAGTAATACATTCAAATGTGAAACACATGTCGCAGACTGTATTGTCTTGTCTTTTCAGTTCACTGATATATTATGGAAATTAATCTTTAACAAAATGAATATTGAAGGCTGTGAGAGATATCCTGGTTTTGTTTGTATTTTAATTACTTTTAATTACAATATCTTAATTATTTGAAGTCGATTTTTCGATTCTTAATTATGCAATTTTCTATCATATAAACAAAATTATATAATCATGTTTTCTTGAGGGCTAATAAATAAAGATGGCTATAAAAATGCATGTTCAAGTATTATTTTATGATTAACAGTATAGAATTAAAAGTATAAACAGAAGTTTGCTTTTAAATTCATCTTAAATTCGGTTTTTCTACGATAAACAAAACCGTAAATGATAATAATAAAACTTAAATGCAATCTGAATAATTAGTAACAGTCACGAACTAGATTAGTTATTAAGGAAATGAACATTTCATCACGCATGTTTGGCTTCCTTAATTGATTCCATTCACTCTAAAATAAACAAACCTCTTGTCATTTAAGAGCAATGCTGTAATTCTAAAAGTTCTATTTGAAGGCCTTTATTCAAAACTTAAGTTCTTCCAATGAATTGCAGCTAATATGGCTTACTATGCTAATATATGCAAATTTTAGATACTCAAATAAAAACAAAGCAGATTTGAAGAAAGACCTTAAGATTTGTTTGAAACTTCTATTGTGCACCATCGTGCAAAGAAAGCAATGAGATCCGCAAAGCCATCTGCAGACTCTGCTCTTGTTTTGGAATATGTTCTGCACAGTGATAGAAGTAAACTGAAGAAGGTGTTAAAATCTAGAATTGATCCTGATCTAATTGACGGGAATGGGGATCCATTGATATTTACCCCCATTGTAAACGGGGATCGCAAAGTGCTTAAGCTCATGCTACCATATATCAATGTCAACATAGAAAGTGCTGACTGTCGAACACCCTTAATGCTTGCAGTGGAAATGGGCGATCTCGACATTGTTAAACTCTTAATCAAAGCAGGTATGTATATGAGATTAGAAAATGTGTCAAGTTATTTCAAACTAAATAAATTATTCCAAGGTTCATGAACTGCGAAATCAATTTCTTTCTTATTTTAAAGCTGCAAGGGTAGACTGCAAAGACAACTCCGGTAAAACTCCCCTATTGCTGGCTTTGGAGGATGGAAAATTCAAAATTGCAGAGTATCTCATAAAACATGGAAGTGACGTTAACGAAGTTGATGACCTTGGTCAATCTGCCCTCCACCTTGTTGTCTCTGGTCAACACAATGATTGTGCTCGAATCATACGAATTTTGTTTAAATGTAGATACATTATGAAAGATGTAGATCACTGGCTTTCTCCCGAAGATTTAGCTGCCAACCAAAAACTTCAATCCATTTATCTTAAACAAATTCAAAACGCAAAAGCTTCAATAAAAGTAAATTCAATGGAGTCGATAGCCATCCCAAGGGAATGCTTTGAATCCTGAAAGGAGATGAGATTATCAAGTCATTACGTTAACCATACCCTAATGGACATTGTCGGTGTCACTTGAGTGGTCTTGTGCACCCAGAATCTCTAGCTGCAACATATAAGAATCACATCAGGATTCATAAACGGTTGATTCTAAAATACGAGCGGACATGGTGGATGAAAATATGGGTGGAGAAACTTCCTCTTTCAAAGTAACATTCCATATGTATATGTTGTTAATATGTTAAAAAGCGAATAAACTTTTTTTAGCATTTGGTCTCTTTTTCACATTTTTAGCGACATACCGTATAATAACGATCATACTCAAAATTCTATGTATAGATATTAATCTAGCAAGTGGTACCTGAGGATAACAAGAGTACAGAGAAGAATTTCATCATGACCTTACACAGTGAATTTGACTCTGAATATCGTTGATTTACTATTAATACATGTATAATTCTTTAAGCAACAAATAATTTGAAGCTTGAATTAATCTACAAAAATCTATGTATACGAAAAAATAATATTGTTTTGGATAAAATTAAAAATGTATTTTCTTCAAAAGTAAAAATGCCTTGTTATTTTGAAATTATTTAGGAGACCTATACATGATATGCACCTGCACTAAGAACAAAATAGTGTTTAAGGGGTGGGATAAAATTTCATTCTTAATTGGCCTTTCCTAAACTTTTTTTATTACTTCCATTTTATTAACATTTTTGTTATTAATATTACTGCAAGAAAAGTGAGTTTATAGCTATCTTTGCAACAATTCTGCTTGAGGCATTGCTTTAAGGCAAGGTTTGGATGTAAAGTTCTTTTGTGCATTGGAACAGTTTAAGTATGTTGTATCTTCATGATAAGATTACTAGTAGTTTTTGAAAAATAATAAAGAAAAAAGTAAACAGATTTATTATAATTAACTAGAAGATCACGCGAGGCTCTAAATAAAGAAACCGCGCTAATAATCGAATCCGCAAGGTATCAAACTTATTCCTGAAGACAAAGAAATAAATAATTAAAATTCATAGCGCTGTGCTTAAGCTTGTTCTTAATTACAGAAGTGAGGTTAACCACATATGGCGACTTCTGTCAGCGGAGGCAATTTCTCCTCCTCCGATTACGCCAGCAAAGCCACCAATACAACCTCCAGATGACTGTTTGAAATGCAAATGATATTATAAACATAATAAATTGCTAATCAAGACCGAATGTGTATTTTCCCCTTGAAAAACATAAAGAATTGCTGATTATGAAATTATCTTGTTCCTTTACCGACACATCAGTGTTTTATCGAGGACAACTTTACATGTAACTTCAATTTATCTAGTTGATCGCTCGCTCTGTGATCGGAAGGCCGTGTGTTCGAATCACGGCCGCGACTGACCTACGTCGATAAAAAATAGGTACATGTAGCAACTGTTCCTTTGCCAAGCGCTCGGCACTTTGACGTGAAAGTTGCAGGTCTTTCGGATGAGAACTTAAAAACTGAGGCCCCGTGTCACGGTAGGCGTTGGCACAGTAAAGAACCCATACTGCTCAATGGCCCTGAGTGCCGAGTAAAGGTCTAAATTTGAAGCCCTTCACCGGTATATGATGACGTCTCTGTATGAGTGAAAAATTCTCGAACGGGACGTAAAACAACATACAATCAATCAATCAATTCATCTACTACAAGATCAATCTTTGACTGACATTATAACTATTGATTTTTATTTCTAATATAGAGATATTTACTCAAAGGAGGGAAGAACAAGGGCTTAATTTTTGATAAAACCAAGTTTGCTAAAAACATTTACTTATTTTGCAACCTTGTTCTAATCACAAATGAATTTTCATTATCGCTTTGATAAAAAGTCTTCACTTTCTGAACATTGGTGTAATAATGGTACATGTACCGCAAACTAAAACATTGACAAATTAAGACATTTTTTTCAAATAATCTATATATGATCAAGTGAAAACTGTAAAAGCCTTAAGCCTTTCGGGTAAGTTAAATTAATGGAAGAGCCGTTACAACAGCTTCTGTTCAATGTGAGCGATAATTTTGATTTCTGCTTATGACGTTACACTTCCACGGCGTTCAGCGTGTGTGATGTCAAAATAAAACGCATACTTTAACCTTCTGACCCCCTGTCCGTGTTATGGTGTTTTGAATGCCGTAGCTTTCCTCACACTTTATATTAAACTACATTTTACTATTTTCTTTTGAAATTGCGTAGAAATATCCAGTGTAAACAAACACAATTTGCAGAATGATGTTGTTCGTCTAGCTCTTATTTGAAGGTTGACATTTTTGATAATTTACATATTGCATTAAATTAAATTGCATACAAATCCAAACTTAGTAGCTTTTATAAAAATGTAGGTCAAATAATCGCCCTGTCAACACAATGCATTATTTTTGTCTTGTCTTGAGCGTTAACTAATATTGCGCTTGCTTGCAGCGACCATACATCACTCACTCATCATTATTATCATGTAGGATATTTATCACATACATGTAGAATTGTGTTGGTTTATTTAAGTAAGTGGATTTTTTTCCCAAGTGTAAGACTTCTGCAAAAGTGCAATAGAATTGTGTTGGTATAAACACTTCAAGTGATGAACCCTCAGGTGAAAAGCACTGAGAGAAGTTTGTCAAGTTGTCTTAGGGGCGAATCGTCTAAGGCATTCTTGCGCACGCGTAACATGACGTAGGCCCATGGCATCTGGTTTAACCCCGTCCATGCAATGAAAAATTATAAACTGTGTATTTATTTCCCCAGAGTTTATAAAATCGCAGCGTATTGCAAATAGTTTGTGAAAATTCGATTCAAAAGTCTTAAACCTTGAAATTTTTTTTTCAATTTTAGTTGTTTCCTTGTCGGTTTCTTTACAATCTTGATATTAATACATGCTAGTTTCTATTTATTTCCCTGCGTGTCTGTTTCTTAAATATTCGTGTTAGATTATTTATTTATTATAAGTTCAATTAGGTTCCTAGTCTTAATTGCTTATGTTAAATTAGTTCCTTATTTATTCATACTTTGTTTCACTGAAAGTTTCAACTTAGCATTTTACTGAAATTGATTTTCAATTTTAATTATTGGTAATTAAATAAATTTCTAAAATTATGAATTGAAATTTATTTGCATTTCAGGAATTTAATTTCATGACAGTTTTGATAAATTTTATTGCAGATGGGTTTTTTTCAGATTACATTACAACTAAGCTTGGTAGACTTTGATAGTATTTATTATTGCCACTTCTTTTTTGCATGTAAACTATAAAAGATTAATAAGATATAGATATTTATGAGTGATCATGAACTTAGAGTACAACAGAGTTTGACAGTTACTTTTAATCAATAAGAGGAATAGATTTAGCTGATTATTTGCAATACTTAGTTATACCATGTAACACTTATCATAAGTGAATATTGAGCTTTTTCAGCATGTTCTCAATGGTTATCACTAAAAGATATATTCTAGTTTCTTTATAGCATAAGTGGTAACAAGGGGTTAAGGTTTTGTGAGAGTTATTTGTTTGGTTTTTCATAGTGTTTATTAAGGCTCAATAAAGATTCAAAATAGATGAAAATCTCAATTTTATTCTTTTTTCCCCAGATGTTACAATGGCAATCAAGACACATAGTAACCATATTTTTTTTTATCTGTTTCTGGTGTCAAGATGTAAAAATTGGCAGATTTCATCAAAATCGGTGCCCATGCATAGCGAGAAAGTTTAGGTTACATATCTTTAAAACAGAGACTAAAGTGATGGACATGATGTATCCAAGAAAAATGTCAACTTCAGTGTTCAGACAGAAGTCATTACCATGCAAAGGAGTTATAGAATTACAAATATCGTCACCTGGATTGGGAAACAATACATACAGTCTGATGATATCTCCTTGTGGATGATTCCAATTACCAAGGAATCCTTCCAATATTCTAAAATTATGGAGTGTTGTAAATAGACTCCTGGTGACCGGCTCCTACAGAAAAATAGACCTTCACACTACTTGGTACTCAAAATTTAGGTGTTTAACAGTACGAAAAAGAGAGTTCCTTTAAAATGGCTACAGAATAGGAGTCATCAAAACTGCTGAGAGGGAGCCAATGACTGTCCCACAAAACTCTGAAGTGACTATAAAAGGTTTTGCTGATATTATAGTTCCCTACCATTAGACAGTTAATTGCTATTATTCAGCCCTCTGAGAAATCAGTCATACCAAAGGACCTAGATATAGTTCCAAAGATTATAGATTTCTATTATCATTCTCGAGAATCAGTTGCAGTAATTGTCAGCAATGTGACAACAAGAACACTGAGAATTCAGCCTAATTCCACCATAGCTGAAATTCAGCCAGTCACTCTACAGGAATTGCCAAAGCAACCAATAGCAGAAATAACGACAGAGAAAGAGTTGTTAAATATTTCAGGTGATAATTTGACAGAGGATGAAATTACAGTAGCCAAAGAGATGATACTTAGAAACAGAGATATTTTAACGTGTGTGGAGATACAGATCTAGGACACGTAACATCAGTAAAACACATAGACAGAACTGACCGATCCAAAAGCATTCAAGCAGCGGCATAGGAGAATCTCACCTACAATGTTCAACGAGGTCAGAGAACATTTACAGCAGTTACTAGATACAGGAGAGATCAGGAAATCTCTGTCTACTTTTTCAAGCAATAAAGTACTTGTGAGGAGGAAAAATGGATCTGAGAATGTGTGTAGACTACAGAGAACTAAACAGCAGGACGAAAAAGACACATACGCTCTCCCTCGAATAGAAGAAATCTTAAAAAATTTATCAGAAAACTCCTTCTTTAATGTACAGGACTCAAAGTCACGTTACCATCAAATAGAAATCAAAGAAGACCATAAGGAGAAAATGACCTTAATTGTGGATCCTCTTGGATTTTTTAAAAATATAATAGAATGCTCTTTGGCCTCTCCAATAGTCTAGACACGATACCAACGGCTTTTGGAGAACTTTCTTGGAGAACTTCATCTTAACAATTGATTCATTTTCCTAGATGATAGCATAACTACTCTAAAACTGTCCAGGAACATCTTGATAGATTTAACAGGTTTCTATTAGAATAAGCAGGTCTCAAACTTTCACCTAAGGAATGTAATTTTTTCCAGAAAAGAGTGAGGTATGTTGGGCGCATCGTGTCGAGCGAGGACACTTTGTTCGTTGTTTAACGTCCCTCTCGAGAATTTTTCACTCATATGGAGACGACCCCACTTGCCGGACAGCTGCAAATTTTGACCT